ATCTTAATAAGTGTTGACTGTTGAGAGAGATTTAATTAGAACTTTGTAACTAAAAAAAGTATAACGACTTCAAAGCAACTTAAAAATAGTTATTCTATCCCTTGTAGTTTATTTTTTTCTACAAACTTAAATAGAAAAAATATAACAGAGTTTCTTTTGTAGTCAATCAAAATATTAAATGAACAAATTCGAGTGTCTTATTATTTTATCATGCGTTATATTACTGTATTAAAAATTAAAAAAAAACCCATACGCAAATTGTCATTTAACGTTTACGCTGGCACGCGTGAAGCACTTAATCATTTTGGAAAAGAGCTGACACTCTTACACTGCTGGATCGATATTAACCAAACATAGCTAAGAACCACTGAAAGGAAACTGGCTTTCAAATGAAAAAAAAACCGCATCGAAATCGGTCCATCCGTTTGAGAGCTAGGATGCCACAGACAGACACACACACATCATCGACGTTAAACTTATAACACCCCTCTTTTAGCGTCGGTTGTTAAAAAGAACTCTTAATTTCTTTGATAATAATACCCCATAAATGTTGATGGTATCAGACCATGAAGAACTAAGTCTAGTATATTATAAAAGTTTTCCGCACATTTGCCATCTCACAACTGATACGACAAAGTAAATGTTTCAAGTTTTAAATATATTTTAGAAAAACTGTGTTTTCACGTTGCATCCGGAGCAGACAGTCAACGGTCTTGTAACAACTATGATGTTTGGCGTGGTTTCGAAAACGGCGATTTTTAAAAGTACTAAGTTTCCCACGGCGCAGCCTGCGTATTATTGTATTAATATATCTTTAAAAATATATTAATACAATAATATAAGCTTTATCAAAATCCGTTCAGTAGATTTTGCATGAAAGAGTAACAAACATCCACCCAACAGTTGATCAATCCATCCTCACCTACTTACGCGTTTATAACATTAGTAGGAAGAAAGTCTAGCAGATCTGGAAGCAGTTCTTCCATAAAGCCCGTTTTATTGGAAAATAAACTATGTCTTAATATACCATTTTCAATCAGACTTTGGTGAATTATATAATGTTTTCTGATATACCAAGATAGCCTGATAGTTAAGCGGGTCGCTAGTATCATCAAAAATGATGTTCTTATGAAGCATAAATTGTTTCTTGTGTTTTTCACGTTTGGAAAAAAATATGAGAATAAAATTTGCTCGCGCGCAAACCGACAGCCAAAAAGCGACATGATGAAGTTAGCTGCATTCCTTTTATAAACAGAGAGTTGTGACACACGGGATGAAATCTTTAGCTATTTTTGTTTTTTTTTTTACGCCAAAGAAGTATAACTTCATACGTGCATACATAAGTACACACACACACACATTTTTTTATATTAAAACAAAATCTATGACTACCAATGATATATAAAGCTATGATCAACTTAACTTACTGTTTCGTGGCTCCAACCGTTTTACGATATACACACTGAGACGTAACGTGCAAAAATATACTAAGATACGTTGCTTGCTATAACTTGCTATAGCTATTTACATTTTATCATAAAAATAAATACATTTAAAATGGACTTCTGAACTTACTTATATTTAGTACTTATAAAATGTTATTCAGTATAATAAAAATACTTTATAGATAATTTTGTCTCGGTTTTTAAAGTTTCCTCACGATGTTTTCTTTCACCGTAAAATAAGTGGAAATGATCCGCACATGAAAATATCAGAAGTGCGGGGACTTGGGATTTGAACCACCATCACTAGGTTTCTCAAGCGAGTAGCGCACTCCTACCATTGGACTACCACAGTTTCGTCCAATCCTATGGACTGCATCCTATGGCTATAGTGCTATTAGATAATGCCCTCCTGACCGATTCCGACCACGGCGGCCAATTTCATTGAGACTAGCCAACTGCGCAGGAGATATTATAGTGCACAAGTGTACGCGCGGACACAAGTATACTCTCTGTTCCTGTCACTCTCATACTCCGGTGGGACGACCGCCCGACACGACCGATGAGAATTAAGGCGCAGGACCGACGGCTTTACGTGCTCTCCGAGGGACGGGGGTAAAACACCGCCAACTTCCCAATTTCGGACTGTTACTGAGGCTTACTATACAGAAAGACTCAATAACTAAACTTGGCCCGACCCGGGATTCGAACCCAGGACCTCCGGGTGTGCAGCCGTATATGCTAGCCACTACACCACCGAGGCAGTGGCGCTATCTATACATATAATAAAATTGTAACTAAGTCGAATCTGTACATTAAATATTTTTTGGAAAATCTAATTGAAATAGACATTATTATCGATACAGAGTCCGAATCTATAGTTTTTAGAATTTTTGTCTGTCTGTCTGTCTGTCTGTCTGTCTGTCTGTCTGTTACCGCATCACGAGAAAACCACTGGACAGATTTTGATGAAATTTGGTATGATGATAGCTGTTTATCTGGGTCAACATATAGAATACTTTTTACCGCGGGAAAATATCTCATCTCATCTGAGAAAAAATACAAAAACTGCATTTTAAGAGTATACTAATATGTAAAACCTAAAAATTTGGTTTTTGGTCATCTGAACGCGGGCGGAGCCGCGGGGAATGCTAGTTAAATAATATAAAAATTATGTAACATAAAGGATACATCAGAAAAATACCTCAGAAACTCGATATAAATATGTTGAACTATTCAAAACATACATATTCAAATTATAACCCTATTTTAATTTAAATACACAGTTGTTACATAAATTAATTTCAAGCCTTATATTACGTTTAATTAACAGAGTTATACTTTTCATAATTTTCGAAAATGGCCTCCAAGAGTATCGTATTTTATTCATATTCAGTTGAGCAGAATAGCGTTTAAATTTTTGTTTTAAGTAAAATTAGTTTTAAATATATCATTTGACGACACGTTTGGCTCAGTTTGTAGTGACCCCACATGCTTTGTCAGCGGTCGCTGTTTCGAGTCCCGCTGGAGGCATTCATTTGTGTAATAGCGCTAATATTTGTACTCCAGTTATGGGTGTTTATATTTATAATATGTATACATATTTAAAGTTATTGACGACAACATTGGACGACACAATTTATGAAATGGGTTATCTATAGGAAAAAACTAAAATAAAATATTATTTTATTACAGAAGATGTACATGTGATAGCATTTTAGAATCTTGATGAAATCGGCCTGCCTGTTCGGCTTAGTGTATTATTTTTTTTGTATATATAGTGTATCTACAATCTGGTATCCATAACACAAGCCTCGTAGCTTATCATGGAACTGGATGGAGCACTGTGTGTTAATGTGCCAACATATATTTATTTGTATTTTATGTAGCCTCGTAAGTTTTTTTATTGAGTAATAGCATTGCCCGCGGTTCCGCCCGCGTTCAGATGACCATAAACAAAATTCTTAGGTTTTACAGATTAGTATAATCTTACAGTTTTTGCATTTTTTCTCAGAAATGAGATATTTTCCTGCGGTAAAAAGTCCTATATGTTGACCCGGATAACCAGCTATCATCATACCAAATTTCATCAAAATCCCTCCAGAAGCTTTTCCTTGATGCGGTAACAGACAGACAGACAGACAAAAATTCTAAAAACTATAGATTCGGCTGTATCGATAATAATGTCTAATTCAATAGGATTTTCCAAAAAATATTTAATGTACAGATTCGGCTTAGTTACAATTTTATTATATGTATAGATCATGAACGAAGTATAGATATCTTTCATACATCACATAATATCAACTGCGCGTATGCTAGAACTTAGAGATATTTCTTGCGACATTCTATTTTAGAACAAAATTGAAAAACTGCAGCTTCACCTCCTTACCGCTACTTCAATTTGAATTTAAAGTAGGATCATCATTTTTAAGCCGAATAAACGCTAAGGTCGATCAGAGTATATAATTATGATTATGAAAAATGTAAAGATTTAAATGGCATAATTTTATTTTTTTTCTTCATTCTTTCTTATAAAATACGATCGATTCACTCGCTTCGCTCGGGTACATCCCCCTACTTTGATTCCACATACAAGCTATCATTCCCATTTTCATCCCATTAAGGGACGATTTCCGGGATAAAAAGTATCCTATGCGCTTCCCAGGGCTTCAAACTATCTTCTTACCAAATTACATCTAAATGGGTTTAGTAGATCCAGAGGTTACCCCCTAAAACGTCACAAACCCACAAATTTTACTCCTTTATAATATTTAGTATAGACTAACGACTTACCCTCTCTTCGATCGGATGCGTCACTAGGTACGTTTTAAATAGATACTACAAATAGTTATTGCGAGTGTATCTTAGGAGAAAGACTTATGCTATTGCAGATTTTTCTGTAGGCCTTTTAAAGATTTATAATTTTCATTGTTTTACGGTAAACCAGAGAGTAATTGCCCACTGAAATTGATTGCCCACGTTAAGAAAAATATTGCCAGGTTTTATATTGGTATCATTTTAGTTCGTTTAGAACAAACTAGTTGGCTCTGTGATTAATGTAAAGTAGATTTAAATTTGACAATTGGCAACACTGAAGAAAATCAAACAGTAATAGCGGATTTTGTCAAAACAGGTGCATGTGTTATTCAAACAGGTAAACAATTTAGAAATTTTTATAAGGAATTACTTGCTTAGAAGTTTATTTTTTTTTGTATTTTATTTGATTTACAACTATTAGTCCATAGTTATGATGAAATCATAAGTATTTTCTTAGTTTTTAATGAAAATATATGTTGAAATTTGAATGCTAACGGTTATTTCAACCGTGGGCAATCACTGAACCTAATTCTGTATATATTTAATTATTGCCCACTATAACTTTAGCAATTGCCATGTGTTAATGTCTACAGTTATTGCCAGGCAATAACTGTCATGGACATTTTTTTGATCAAAATATGTTACTATCATATGTAGGTGCTGTGTTTAAAATGCTTAACTTGTTTAGCAATCGCTAAGTATATATATCTTAATTGCTATTATTGTTACATTTACAGGATGCCAAAGACACCAAAAGTTCAATATAGTAATGAGAATTTGCAGAAAGCGATCGAAGCTGTCCAAGATGTTTCCAACAATTTATCTACAAGGCAAATTGCTGAAAAATATGGTGTTCCGAGGTCCAGTCTCCGATACCACATTAAAAATCCGGGACATAAATACAGCTGCGGGCCATCACCTACATTACCTGTTGCTGAAGAAAGGCGTTTGAAAGAATGGATTATAATTTCGGCAAGTAAAGGATTTCCCCGTAATAAAGAAGATATTTTAGACACCGTGCAAAAGTTCCTGGTGAAAAGATTCGCGGCCTTTGGAAAAATAATATTTGATATACAGATTCGGCTTAGTTACAATTTTATTATATGTGTAGATATAGATACCTTGTTATTTAAATTTCCATGCCATTGTTTAGTATTTTGTATAGTTATTATAGTATAGTATTAAGTTATCGTCGCTTGACTGCTACATGCCTGAAGCTACGAGTAACCTAAGAACCAGGATAAGTCCTAAGATTAATGTCTCCACATTTATCCGTTTTAAGAGAATTTTCCGCCTACGCAAACTCAGCTCTGCCTCGGCCCTTTACTGATTCCAATATAACAATAATTTAACTTGCAATTTCGGGAAAGGCTTTGTTCTTCATCTTATAAGATTATAACAAAATTATACTTTAAATATTTCATTGAATACTTTCAACTTGGCTTATACTTGAGTTTGTGTGTTGTTTAGATATGCTTTGTTTATTTATAGTGGTCTCGCATTGCTAAGGCCTTAAATACACTATGGATGTACAGGGCCATTTTTAAGTTACTGAAGACCTTTTGGGAATGTACTATTTATGTCATAACAACAACATCTGTGACAAAAAAATCTTAATTTTTTATTTTTTTACAAAAAAAACTTTGATTAGTAACTTTGTAAGAATTATAGTAATAGCAACCAGACTTAAAATATAATATTTAATATTCAATTATATAAATTACTACCTACTAATCCTCGCTCGTCGTTACGTTTTCACGATTAGTATAGATTTCTCAGAGATGACATATTTTCCCGCAGTAAAAGTATCCTAGATATTGACCCGGATAACCAGCTATCATCATACCAAATTTCATCGAAATCCCTCCAGTGATTTTTCCGTAAATGCTGTCACAAACAGACAGATAGAGAAACAAATATTCTATAAACTATACTTTCGGTCTCTGTATCGATAATAATGTCTATTTCAATAAGATTTTCCAATAAATATTTAATGTATAGATTCGGCTTGGTTACAATTTTATTATATGTGTAGATTAAAATTAAAAAATAAAATAAATAAATGGATTGTGGATACTGTAGTTAATTAACTATATTAGTCAGAATACAGTTATAATTGTCAATTTATTTTAAAAAAATCTATTTGTTTTGTACCAACGCTACATACTATATCTAACAAAAAGATGTTGTAACCTAATTTAAAAAAGTTTTTAATCTATACTTAATCTATCAATTATAAATCTTAATCAAAAATTGATACTTATTTTCAAATACTGTAGTTTATCTGAGGCTTAAAGGTATTTATTATGCATACATATATGCATAATGTATATGTATGGTCAATACAAAAAGAATCAGCTGTATCTATACTAATATAAAGTAACTCTGTTCGTTTGTTTGCTTGTTAATTTTTCACGACTAAGCTGCTGAACAGATTTAGACAAAATTTGGTATGTAGACAGTTTGAGATCCTGGGATTTTTATCCCGGAAATCATCACTTTAGGGGGTGAAAATTTGTATTTCTCAATCAATTTCTCAAGTAAGGGTTATATATATTTTTTTAATTTCAAAAGTAATTTTTACCCACTCACATTACGTGAATGTCAAAAAAAAGTTAGAGATTGGCTGCTTACACTTAGCTATGAGGAAACGGAAAAGATATTAGAAAGAAATTTATAAAATGCTGAGCGAATACATACGCACACGCACACACACACACACACGCACATACACATACACACAAACACACACCCACTCACACATATACACACACACATGTATTATACTGTATTTTACGTAACTTCACTTAGTACATTTTTGTTAAAGTTAATTTTTATTTTACTTTTTATTTTATTTTTTTCTTTCATAAAGAATTTCTAAAATTAAGTTAAATATGCACCGTAATATTATTGACCTCCAATTATCATTAAAGATGGAAGAGGGCGCTGACTCCTGACATACAGGTTTATTCTAGTTTGGGAGTCAGAGGCTTCAACAGGCTTATGTAACAACAAACAATTGTGTCAATAAAGATTATATTCTATTCTATTTACCTACTTTTCTATCCCTATGTATGTACATTGTACAAATACATAAATATAGTCATATTATATTACCCGTTAAAATGTATCTTGTGACGAACTCGAGCGAAGCATGTGTGAGTCGCTAGTATTAGTATCTATAAATTACAATTTAGTTACAAATGAAACTAATGAAATAATGAAAGCAATCAAAATGAGGAGTAAACACCATAAAGAAAACACTAACTAGACTGTAATTTATATAATGCTCTCATTCCAAAAGTTTGTTTAGAATTTGTTGACAGGACCTACATATGTTAGCTCAGGCGTATCCTTGAAGTAATCCCGTACCTCTCAACTCTCAAGATTTCTAAGTTGAGAGAAAACTACGAGCCTAAATGTTTATATAGGACGTTTAAGTACTATAGCTGTTTGTGTCAGCTGGCAGCTAAATGTCATGAATTTGTTTGGTTTTGCAAAGATGATGAAAGTTTGTGTATACAGGGTGTGTGATGTAAGACGGCTGTAATTGGTTGTGCATGATTGATGATATAAGAAAAAGGAGCTCGTCGGCACGTTTAATTGTTTTATTAAAACTAAAAAATATATATGATAATTTCATGTGTTAAACAGCTCTAAGGTGATAAAAATTAAGTAATAACTATACGGTGGGCTTAATTTTCAATAGGTACAAATGTTTTTGGTGCCAGACGAAAAGGCGCCATATCTAACACCATTTTATATCTGGACATGTAAAAAGTTTCTTTTAGTTAGAGTAAATATGGGATAAATTAAAATCAAGTGCGAGTCGAATTCGCACACGAAAGGTTCCGTACCATCGTACATGTATTTTTTATTAATATGACTTTTACTCTATGTATGTAGTATGTAAATTTCGATGATCGATTACAAACGTTAAAAAAAATCTTGTATTTTATTTTATTTTTTTATTATTTGTTGTTATAGCGGCAATAGAAATATATACTTTGTGAAAATTTCAACTCTCTACCTATTACGGTTCATGAGATACAGCCCTCTAACAGACGGACGAACGGACGGACAGAGGTTTAATAATAGGGTTCCATTATCACCATTCGGGAACTCTAAAAACAGTCAAAGATAGGCTAAATAGCTATCAAAGTATAAACTGTAGTCGTCACAGAATTCTCTATTATGAAATCAGCAAATTGGAAGACATAAATTAGGTTACACTATCAAACGGCCTTTGTGTCCATATTTTGGATTAAAGAAAAAGCTGTACATAGGAATTTGTTGCCAAAAAACTCCGACGACTGACAAGATTTCAGCCGATGCTTAAATAATTACATTCAGTATTTGGATACTAGCCAGGCCCTCCAAAGATTTACCTAGCCATTAACACTATGTTAGATCACGCATACTATGTGTAACAATATCATGTACAATAACGTGAAAGTATATACATTGTACATGATTTTAATTGTATTGTTTATTTTGTTGTGATCTATATATAAATAGGGCAAACACATTTTTCTTCTCTGTTTTCCAACTGATTTTCTTTTATTTGTGTTTGTTTTATAGTTATTGACGAGCGTTAGTGTTACTAATAATTTTTTTGGAAAAGGTTAGTTTTTTAGGGTAACTATGTTTTTAGGGTACTAAGCCTCCGATGTCCGTCCGTCTATCCATCTGCTAGAGGGCTGTATCTCATGAATCGTAATAGGTACAGGTAGAGAGTTGAAATTTTCACACAGTATGTATTTCTGTTGCCGCTGTAGCAGCAAATAATAAAAAACCAAGATGGCGAATTTCAAAAAGACTACCAAAAAAATCGATTATTGTTCGGAGCCCTCCGTGTGCGAGGCCGACTCGCACTTGTCCGATTTTTACATACGTAAGTAAATTATATTCATGTTATAATTTTTTCAAAATTTCTATTGTGAATATGGTCGTATTTCAACTTCTACGCGGTCACTCGTATAAATTGTTTTATGCATTTTCTAACAGTCATTTGTTGAGAGAATCACTAGGTGTGCTTATCTATCGCAACAAAAACTAAAATATTAGTAGCTTCTGTTACTGCTTCATAGAAATGATCTCTTTTTTAAAATCCAGCCGATCGCTTTGCTAACGATGCTTTGGTTCACCGTAAAGCGTAATTTTCAAGTTATCACGTTGAAAATTATTCGCACATGAAAATATCATATGTGCGACACTCGAGGTTCGAACCTGTTTCACTTGGATTTTTAGACGAGCGCATTACCACTGGACACCTCCAGCAAAATATTATATGGCGATAAATTTAAAAGTTTGACACGCCTTAATGATGACGAAGTATGCATAGCGCGAATGATGTTAGAAGTTCGAATAAAAATAAAAATATGGAATACATAATATTTTATGAAATTTTTTAATTTTTAAAGCTTCAGTTTCTAATATATATTTATATATCTATACATATAATAAAATTGTAACGAAGACGAATCTGTACATTAGATATTTTTTTGGAAAATCTTATTGAAATAAATATTATTATCCATACGGAGGCCGAATCTATAGTTTTTGAATTTTTGTTTGTCTGTCTGTCTGCCTGTTACCGCATCACAGAAAAACCACTAGAGGGATTTTGATGAAATTTGGTATGGTGATAGCTGGTTATCCGGGTCAACATATAGGATACTTTTTATAGCGGAAAAATATCTCATTTCTGAGAAAAAATACAAAAACTGCAATGTAAGAGTATACTAATATGTTAAACCTAAGAATTTGTTTTTTGATTATCTGAATGTGGGCGGAGCCGCGGGCCATGCTAGTAGAATATATATTTTTGCATGTTTAGTAGCAATGATACGTCATTTATTTTATTAACTACCGACTTATTCTCCCTTCGCTCGAGTGTATTCCTTAGTGTTTAAATATAAGTCTATGTGTTACTCCAGATCATAGTCTATCTGTGAATTAAATTTCATCGAAATCGGTCCAGCCGATGATGATTTTATTTCATTGATCTTTTGTAAGCTTAAAGAAACACTTGCAAAAAAAGCTAATGACCACCATGCCACAGTTTATAAATGACGGTACAATATTTATTACATCGTTTTGAGGTTCTATTGAATGTATATTTTAAGTAGCTCCTCACCCTCACTAAAAATAAATCTATCCCACGGGAACCGTAC